CACCGTACGCTCAGCGTACCAATACCGTGAAGGTAATTTGATATTTGAGAATATTTATGTTAATAATCATAAATTTTAATTAATTGTCAGTTATCGTTCTTCAATTATCTCCGGGCCCCCCGAGCCCCATAATAGTGGGGGGGGGGGCGCCACAAAAATTTGCTTGAGGCGGAGGGTCTTTAATATAGTATCTCGTCGGTGACGAGACGTAACCTATAGCTGCAGGCTTAAACATAATAGGCACAGGCAATAGCCACAGGGAACAAGGAATAATAAACTGTCCAATTAGAGTTCTGAGATATAATATCGAACTTACCAGGTGTACAAGTATGAAATGCGGATTTGAGAAAACAGATGGCGCATCAATGCAGTGTGTGGTATAAAGATTTGACTGTTATGCCATTTTGAAGTGCCATCAACAAGAGTCAGACGCGCACGAGTGATAAATTGAAAAAGTGTTTGCATAGTGTTGTGCTGCTGTGTTCGATATGTCGAAATTTATACCAAACAAAGAGCATTCGCGGACAGCATTAATTTTTTGTTTTCATTTGAAGAAAACTGCTGCTGAATCATACCGATTACTTCGAGAAGCTTATGGTGAACATGCTCCATCGCAAGATACGTGTGAACGATGGTTCGGCGTTTTAAAAGTGGTGACTTCGATGTTGCAGACAAGGAATACGGAAAACCGCCAAAAAGGTACGAAGATGTGGAATTGCAAGCATTTTGGACGAAGATGATTCACAAACACAAAAACAACTCGCAGAGCAATTGAGCGTTAGTCAACAAGCTGTTTCCAATCGCCTACGAGAGATGGGAAAGATTCAGAAGACCGGAAGATGAGTACCGCATGAGTTGGACGGCAGACAGATGGAGAGGCGCAAAAACACATGTGAAATTTTGCTTGCACGATACAAAAGAAAGTCGTTTTTGTATCGTATCGTTAGTGGGGATGAAAATTTATTTTGAGAATCCCAAGCGCAAAAAATCATGGGTAGACCCAGGCGCACCATCCACATCGACCGCAAGACCGAATCGCTTTGGCAGAAAGACGATGCTCTGTGTTTGGTGGGACCAGAAGGGTGTGGTCTATTATGAGCTGTTGTTATGAGCTGTGTAAAACCTGGTGAAACGGTTAATGCTGGACGCTACCAACAACAATTGATTGATTTGAACCGTTCGCTGCTTGAAAAAAGACCAGAATACCAAAAGAGACAACACAAAGTCGTTTTTCTTCATGACAATGCTCCATCACATACGGCAAAACCGGTTCGCGACACGTTGGAAGCACTCAGCTGGGAAGTTCTACCCCATGCGGCTTACTCACCAGACTTGGCTCCTTTCGATTACCACTTGTTTGCATCGATGGGTCACGCACTTGCTGAGCAGCGCTTTGGTTCGTACGAAGATGTGAAAAAATGGCTCGATGAATGGTTCGCGGCAAAGGGAAAAGATTTTTACTGGCGTGGTCCACAAATTGCCCGAAAGATGGGAAAATGTGTAATTAGCAATGGAGCATACTTTGAATAAAGCTCTTTTTATCATTCTTCCGAATTTAACGTGTTTTTTTTTTAAATCCGCATTTCATACTTGTACACCTGGTACACACAAAAGCTCTAATTGAACGGCTCGTTATTCACTGTTGCCTGTGCCTATTGTGTTTAAGCCTTAAATCTGAGATGTAAGCTAGCAGCTCAATCACGTGATCTTCGAATAATCCGAGTGCCAAGAATTAATTCCAAACGCTACAGAACTATAAATTGTTCTTTAAGATTAGATTATAAAATGAAATTGTTTATTTTTATGAATAAATAAAAAATACCTTATTAATTGAAGATTTCTTTTTCGCTTTACTAGAAACTGATAATAATTTATATACTATAAATATATTTTATATACTATAAATAGATTGTTATACATAAATGTAGCAGGTTCATATGCAAGGTTGTGTTTTCTTAAAAGAAAATGCTACATTGCAAAATAAACTTCTGCAATTTATAAATTATGTCACTTGATATATATTCGTTAGAGTCTTTAGTATATTATAAAGAGGAAAAAAATTATTATAAAAACTTACTTTCCTCATTAAATATTGTACATAACGTACTCTTATCAATTTCTATTTGATAGCATTATCATAAATATACAGGTAATGAATTTAATTTAGGCGCAAAAATCTGCATTAGCTTTGCGAGCTCGGTCTTTGAATCCGGAGTGAATCAAGCAGCTCGATTGGCTCTAGAAATGTTAATATCGAAGGCAGATGAGATTGTAGCAGAAAGATGCGAGTTTGTTTGTAGCAGAAAGATGCGAACGATTTTTGAGGTAAAAAAGCAAATGGACACCTCCGATTTGCAA